CAGGCAATCCACTCACCTCAGCCTCCCAAAGCGCGGGATTACAGGCTGAGCCACTGGGCCGGCTCTGAATATGTTTTGAAGGTAGGGCAGAAAGGGTTTGCAGTGTGTGTGGAGAGGGGTCGAGAGTAATCCCAAGGCTTCAGCCTGGGTACCTGGAAGGATGGCCTTGCCACTTACTGAGGTGGGATGGGGCGTGTTTGTGGCTGCCGTTCATCTAGGTTGTTGCCACTGCAGTCCTGGAACAGGCACAGGTGAAGGGATTTACTCTGGATCCCTTCCTGTAAATAAAGCCTCTTGGTCAAGTCCACTCTTGAGAAGGCTGGTGCTGGTGACCTTGCTGCCTTGAAACGTTGGCAATGTTGACTGCTCCTATGTTGTTGGGAGGTTTACTGATGAGTAGGTGAAGTGCCTCGGCCCCATATTCATCCCTTTTACCTGTGGGGCCAAGACAGCCGAATTCTTGATTGTACAGTATAAAAAAAACATGAGTTTGAACTCCATTTTCCTTATGGAATCTCCAAACTTTGAATCATCTGTAATATGAGCTGATAATACTTGATTTGCAGGGTTGATGTGAAGAGTAAATCTGGTAGTTATTAAACTGTGTAGGAATCTGAAGAAATTATTATAAATGGATAAAGCAGAATGTAGGATTTTACACTGACTATATAGTTGTTAAAATAAACATGAAAAAAGATTGGGAGAATGTACAGTTTGTCATAATGGGCTAAAGTAATGAGATATGTAACTTCAAATTCGATATTCTAAACTTTTACAATATTATAAATGGAAATGTGGAATTATTAAAAATTGTTAAGATGGTTGCTAATCCTGCTTTCAGATAATACTCTTTAAAAACTTTGCTGTAGTTTTGAATCACTGAATGGGTGAACAAACACAAAGCATTTAGGTATAATCCCTTCTAAAAATACTCTCACATTAGCCCTGCGAAAACATGAATTTACTTTCAAACCTTTTTTGGAGATGCTTGATAGAAAGGGTTTTTCAGTTTTTGCATTCAGGGAGAAATGATTACTGCAAGGAGAAAATACAGTGACTCGCAGGCTGTGAAGGGGTATCCAGCACTCCCCAGCTCAGTAGAGATCCTTGTGGCCTCCGAATCTTAGGAGCGGGGCCTCTGTTTGGAGTGTGCGTATTACTGAATGTAGGCCAACAACTTATTGACAGACTTTCTCTTTAAATGGATTGCTTTGAAGCAGTGGTTGATGATGGGAGGGTGACGTGTGAGTAGTGGAATGCTTGAAGTCAGGGCTCTGGATATGTGAGGGCTCGAGTTTTGACACCTAGTCTCTTTTCTGTGTGGTCTTAGGCAAGTTACCCTGTCGTACCCAGTTTTCTCCTCTGTAGAATGGGAATGGCAATATCTTCCTAGGCTTGCTGTAGGGGGTAGATGAGGTCATGCATGTGAATTGCTTGACATGGTGCTGGGCACACCACAAGGGCTAAGTAGATATTAGCAGCTGTATTCCATAATATTAATATCCATAATGGCAGGGATTGTGGCTGTCTTATTCATTGTGTATGTCTGTACAGAGCCAGTGATCAGTGATATAAGTGGAATGAGTGAATACGTTACAGAGAACAGGCCCTGGTTCATTCCCATTTACTGGCTATGTCAGAAAAAATAGAAGCTAAATTTGCTTTAATACTTTTTTGTTGCTCTGTTGATCCTAATGTCTGTTTGGTGGGAGTAAGATAGAGGTTTTTAATGTCGTATCTTGAGATCAGGACTTGTCAGTTATAGGTAAATTTAGATTTCTTTGAGAGACAAGAATCGGGACTGATGACTATGTTAATTTGGGCAAGAGATTTCCTTTTTTGTTTATAAAATGAAGAGGCTGGGCTTGAATTCTGCTTTCTAACTTTGAAATTTATTTTTCCTAGTTAGAATTTATTTTATTGGTTTATAACTTTGTTCCTGGTGATTTTATTGGTTTGTAACTTTAGTTCCTTAATCTGCAGGCTATTTTGGAGAACCATCTATGTATTTGTCACTGTAGGTTTACTCCTTCAGGTTAAAAACTAGAGTTCCCCTTAGATTCCTTTTTTTTTTGCTTTAATATATATTTTTTATTTTTTTTGAGTTGGAGTCTCACTCTGTCCCCCAGACTGGAGTGCAGTGGCCGCTCCTGGCCACCGCATCCTCGACCTGCTGGGCACCAGCGATCCTTCCGTCTCAGCCTTCCAAGTAGGTGGAATTACAGGCACGCGCTACCACGCCCGGCTAATTTTTTGATTTATTGTAGAGATGAGGTCTCACCAACTTGCCCAGACGGGTCTCGAACCCGCGGGCTCAGGACTCCACTCACCTCAGCCTCCCAAGGCGCGGGATTACAGGCTGAGCCACTGAGCCTGGCGATATTTTTTATTTTAAAATTGTGGGGTACAGTTAAGGGTTAGGTATACAAATATTGTGCAGGTACCCGGATTCCTTTTTTTTAAAAAAATCAGCTTTTTTGAGATACAATTTTGTATTACCATACAGTTCACCCATTTACAGTGTACAGTTTGGCCAGGTGTGGTGGCTCATCCTGTAATCCCAGCACTTTGGGAGGCCAAAGTGGGAGGACTGCTTGAGCCTAGGAGTTTGACCCAACTTGGGCAACATAGTGAGGCCTCATCTCTACAAAAATAAAAAAATTAGCTGCATGTGATGGTGCACACCTGTAGTCCCAACTACTGAGGAGGCTAGGGCAGAAGGATTTCCTGAGCTCAGGAGATCGAGGCTGTGATCGTGTCACTGCACTCCAGCCTGGGCAATAACGCGTGGATTTTAGTATATTTGCAGATATGTGCAACCACTACCACCACAGTTCATTTTAGAGCATCTTTCCCCTCACAAGGAAGCCTATGTCCTCTGGCTATGACCCCCCCCCTTCACCTACTCCCTGTCCTAAACAACCATTAACCTACCTCCTGCCTCTGTAGGTCCCTGTCTAGACTTTCCTGTGAATGGACTTGTACAGCAGGTGGTCTTCTGCCACTGTTTTCTCTCAGCAGGTTCTAAAGGCTAATCCATGTTGCAGCTTGTGTCAGCGCTTCCTTTTCTTCCTCCCCTATTTATATTTTATAGATAGAGCTATCATTTTTTTTTTTTTTTGAGTTGGAGTCTTACTGTGTCTCCTCGGCTAGAGGGCAGTGGCATGATCATGGCTCACTTCGGTCCTGACCTCCTGAGCTCAGGTGATCCTTTCACGTCAGCCTCTCAAGTAGCTGGGACTACAGGTGTGTGCCACCACACCCAGGTAATTTTTTTTTTTCTTTTTTTAGGAGACGAGGTCTTCCTATGTTGGCCAGTCTGGTCTTGAACTCCTGGGCTCAAGTGATCCTTCTGCCTTGGCCTTCCAAAGTGCTGGGATTATAGGCATGAACCACCACGTTTGTTCAGTGTTTTTAATTTATGGGTTTATTTATGCTAGAAAGTTTAGTTACTTTATATAGTTTTTTAGTTTTTATTGTTTTGTTTTTTTCTGGTTATGGAAGGCAAATTTTTGTTTTTAAACCGTTACAGGCACTTAGACATTGAGATCTTCCTTTACTATGTGTCTAGAAAAGTTTCTGAAGCCCACTCTGGGGTTAGATGTTCCATGTTAGTACATTAACTCATCCAGAGTAGTGAAAGGAAATGTAACCAAAAGGTTATAACAGGTAGTAAGACGTTTTACTGGCCTGATAAGAAGCCCTGATAGGTACTTCTGCAATCTCAGACTGGGCCTGGTTTGCCCCTCTTCTCTCTCCACCCCTGCCTCTGTCTCCGTGGCTGGGATTTTTGGATGGGTTTGCTCTGAGAGAGTAGGTGAGGGTTTCCTTTTCTCGTGGTGTGACTGGACTGCTGCCTCCACTGCTCGCTTCTTGGAAGGTTTGCTCGGATGTATTTTTACCTTGCCATTTCCTTTTCTTCCCACAGGGATTAAAGCCCGTGGTTTCCACAGAAGCACCGCCTATCATATTCGCCACGCCCACTAAACTGGCCTCTGAGTCCACTGTGTATGATTATGCTGGGAAAAACAAAGTTCCAGAGCTGCAGAGGTTTTTCCAGGTGAGAGAAGACACTCTACGACAGAGATCCCACATGGAACTGAGTCGTAATCTCGTCTACTACCCAACCTCCTTGAAGTAGAATTCTCTTGATTTCAGTAAACTCACAGAACTTTATATCAGTAGATACTGATGAAAGACTGAAGGGAGGTTAATTTCCTCATTGGTGTTTAAGTGTGTGTGGATTTCCAAGTTGCATGCTATAGCTCTTGATCATGCACTGCATGGAAGAAGCAAGGACATGTATAGTGACACTGAATAATTCAGTATTTATTTGGCTTTGGGACACACGCGGTGACTCTTGACAGCTTCCTGCTAATTGTTTTTGCTTGCTCGATATTACAATTCACTGAGCTGTTGCTGGAGGTAGAGGAGGCTCTCTTGGGTTTGCTCATCAACAGAGAGAGACCAGGATCAGAATTGAAAGTATTTTTAAAGTTGACCTATACACAGATTATTGAGAAGTTAGTGACTGACTCAGTCTCAGGTGCCATGGGAGCGGCAGTGCCTGCTTCTGCTATTGTTGTAAAGTGGTTTGGCCCTCCTCAAAAGTAGATTCAGTCCCATCTTGGGGGTAGAACTCTTTGATCAGTTTAATCCCTTTGATCTATAAGATTTCAGAGCGCTTCTGGAGTCCTGTGATGCAGTGAGGAGGGAATTTGGAGATGACAGAATAATAAATTGAACATCTTACCTGTCTGATCATTAAATGGGGGTTTAAGAGTTTGGTGGAAAGAGGGCAGTTAAATACAAGATGGACTTGAACCTGTTGATTACCTGGTATGTTCTGACTTCGCCCACTTATGATCAGAAGCCAGGCTAAATGGAGACCTAAGTGGAGAGCACTTGTGCGTGACGTCTCAGTTCACCTCCTGATTTCCTTCACCTTCTAAACACTCACCAGGGGTCCTTTCCTAGTCTGGCAGTAGATAATAAACACCTTAGGGATTTGTTGCATGCATGTTGCCTGAGACTGCATTTTGGAGCATGACTTTTATTTATAAGCTTTAGCAACATTTATAGGAAAATATGCTAGTATTTGTTAGCATTCTGATGGATTAGGCCTTTTCCCACTGTGGATGTGTTGATGAATTAGTTACAAAGTAGACAAATTAGTTCCTTATTAGCCCCAAATTGTAAAGTCGTCTTCTGATCAACCGTGCCCTTGTTAATTCTTGCTTTCAAGAAGTCCGACGGTGTGCCCATCCACCTGAAGCGAGGCCTGCCTGACCAAATGCTGTACCGGACCACCATGGCGCTGACGCTGGGAGGGACCCTCTACTGCCTGGTCGCCCTCTACATGGCATCGCAGCCCAGGAACAAATGAGTTAGGTTGCAGAGGACTGGTTTGCTTTTTGGCACAAACCCTTTGCATTTTCATTTTTATTGTTTCTGTTAAGATATTTTTTTAAACTTGGATGACTTAACATTTTTGCAAGAAAAATAGAAAGATAGGAAGGCAGTGTTTTGATTTGTTTTTGGACGGCTGTGACTTGTCAGCTCATTCAACAGTTAAAACTAATGTTTAAGGAAATGCTGCTGTGCTCTGCATTTGTTTGTGCATCTGATTTCCCTAGAGGTTCTGGATGAAGTTTGCACACAGGCTCATTCGCATCGTCTGTGCTGAGGACCTCGGGGACCTGGGGTTGTGTTTTTGAGCACAGGGTACAGAAGCTTTTCCAGATTTGGGTGTGGCTGAGGAGGGAAGACAAGCCAAGGCCAGGTGCACAAAGTGAGAGGTTTGGGTCAGTGTCACCATGGGGCTTTTTCCATCTTGCAGTAAATTGTTAATAGAAATTATTTGTGGCCTGCCTGTATTTATTTGGGCAGTTTGTTTCAAAGGGTTATTTGCCTCATCTCAGATCTTTAGTGAAATTTTATGCGTAATTGTTTTGTATTTATTTCACCATGGGAACAGAGAATACCTGTCTAGCATTGCACTTTAGACCTTGTCTGTTTTGTTAATGCAACTGTGCCACAATTCTCCTTTATCTTTTAAAAATGTTATAACTTTAAATTATGATTTATTCTTACTGTGGAATAAATACATGACTGAAAAATTTCAAGTCTGAAGCTGTTTCAAAATAAATGACCTTTCAGAATAATTTCTGAACACCAGAGGCATCTTAAACCTGAGTTTGAGTTCTTTATTTTTAATTAGACACTAGATTATCTTTACAAAATGGTTCCTCAAAGTCAAGTAGTAGGAACCCTTTATAGAAACCTACTGGCCTCGTAGTGAAATGCGCCTATAGCACACAGTTCGTCTGGACACTCATTTCCTGTGCTGTCGTAATTGGTAGACTTCACTCGTCCTGCACTAATGCTGAAAAGAGGTGGAACCTTATGACGTATGGAAGTGATGATGCTCTGGACCTCACCACGTCACAGAACACTGACCTCTTGATGAGGGTGAAGTATGGGGATTGAAAACACTCCACAGTATTTTTGCAGGCTAGGAAACTCTTACATAGCTGTACAAACCTACGTTTTATTCTTCTCTGGTGTTTCCTTCAAGTTTTTATTTTGAAAAATTTCAGACTACGGAAAGACTCTAAGGATAGTGTAACGTGCATCTGTAGCTCCTTCGTGTGGAACACCAGTCAGTCCTCAGTATGTTGCTATCTTGGCCTCTTGTCCTCTCACACCTGGTGCACACCCATGCACACACACACACACATATGTATATTTGGTTTTTTGCTGAATCACTCAAGATTAGGTTATAGAGTTATGGTAAATCAGCCATAAATACTTTAGCAAGTATCTCCTGAGAGTAAGGACATATTCTTTTGTAGCCATAATATGGTTGTCAGATTTAGTGAAGTTAACATTGATAATGATACTACCATCTAATACAGAGTCTATTTTCAGGTTTCTTCAGGTGTCCCAATAACATTATTGGCTTTTTATGGTTGTGTTTTATATTTTTATTTTTTATCTTTTTTTTTTTGAGTTGGAGTCTCACTCCATCACCCAGACTGGAGTGCAATGGCCGCTCCTGGCCACCGCAGCCTCGACCTGCTGAGCTCCGGCAATCTTTCCGCCTCAGCCTTCCAAGTAGCTGGAACTACAGGTACGCGCTACCACGCCTGGCTAGTTTTTGATTTATAGTGGAGATGAGGTCTCGTCAAGTTGCCCAGGCGGGTCTCGAACCCGCGGACTCAGGCAATCCACTCACCTTGGCCTCCCAAAGTGCTGGGATTACAGGCTGAGCCACCGAGACCGGCCTATGGTTGTGTTTTTTAAAATAACAGCTTTATTAGGATATAATTCACGTAGCATACAATTTGCCTAAAGTGTACATTTCATTTGTCTTTTCTATATTCAGTATCATGGAGTCATCGCCACAATGCATTTTAGAACATTTACATCACCCCAAAAAGAAACTCCATACCTGTTAGCAATCATGTCCCTTCCTGACGGCCACTAACCCTCACCTCCTGTCCCTAGGCAAGCACTCATTTACTTTCAGTCGCTGTGGATTTGCTTTTTCTGGACATTTCATGTAAGTACAGTTATATGTGATGAGTATAATTATGTGACGTATGACTAGCTGCTCGCAGTGTAATGTTTTCTTTTTTTTTTTGAATTGGAGTCAAGCTCTGTTGCCTAGGCTGGAGTGCAGTGGCACACTCATGGCCGCCCCTGTGTCGACCTGCTGGGCTCTGGCAATCCTTCTGCTTCAGCCTTCCAAGTAGCCGGAACCACAGGCGTGTGCTGCCACACTCAGCTAATTTTTGATGTAGAGATGAGGTCTCATCAAGTTGCCTTGGCTGGTCTTGAACCTGTGGACTTAGGCAGTCCACTCACCTTGGCCTCCCAAAGTGCTGGGATTACAGGCTGAGCCACTGAACCCAGCCTAGTGTAATGTTTTCTTTTTTTCTTTTTTTTGAGTTGGAGTCTCACTCTGTCACCCAGACTGGAGTGCAGTGGCCGCTCCCGGCCACCACAGCCCCAACCTGTTGGGCTCCGACGATCCTTCCGCCTCAGCCTTCCAAGTAGCTGGAACTACAGGTGCGCACTACCACGCCCGGCTAATGTTTTTTTGATTTATTGTAGAGATGAGGTCTTGCCAAGTTGCCCAGGCAGGTCTCGAACCTGCTGGCTCAGGCAGTCCACTCACCTCAGCCTCCCAAGGCGCGGAATTACAGGCTGAGCCACCGATCCCTGCTAGTGTAATGTTTTCAAGGCTCATTCATGTTGTGGCTTGGATTGGCGCTTTATTCCTTTGTATGGTTGAATTTTAACATTCGACTGAATGGATATACCACATGATATTTATCTACTCATCTACTGATGGACATTTGGGTTACTTCCACTTTTGGACTTACAAATAATGCTGCTGTGAGCAATAGTGAACAAGTTTTTGTGTGGACATGTTTTCATTTCTCTTGGGTATACACCTAGGAGTGTGATTGCTGGGTCATATAACTTTATGCTTAACTTGTTTTTAAACTGCCAGACTGTTTCCAACTCAGCTATACCATTTTACATTTTTACCAGCAGTTACAGTTGGTTTTTGTTTTTGTTTGGGGTCCAGGATCATTCAAAGAGCATACATTATATTTAGTTGTCATGATTTTTATTTTTATTTATTTATTTTGAGTTAGAGTCTTCCTCTGTCACCCAGGCTGGAATGCAGTGGCACACTCACAACTACTGCAGCCTTGACCTGGACTCAGGTGACCCTTCTGCCTCAGCCTTCCAAGTAGCTGGAGCAATAGGTGTGTGCCACCACACATGGCTAGTTTTTTGATTTATTGTAGAGACAAGGTCTCACCAAGTTGCCCAGGCTGGTCTTGAACCCTTGGGCTCAGGCAGTCCTCTTGGCTTGGCCTCTCAAAGTGCTGGGATTATAGGTGTGAACCACTACATCGGCCAGTTGTCATGATTTTAAAAAAATGTGTTCATTTGAATTTTTTTGCAGAGATGGAGTCTTGCTATGTTCCCCAGGCTGGTCTCAAACTCCTGGGCTCAAGTGATCCTCCCACCTCGGCGTCCCAAAATGCTGGGATTACAGTTGTGAGCCACCATGCTCGGCCCTTTCATCTTCTCTTATCCAGAACAGTCTGTAGTGCCCTTACTGATACTGACCTATTTGAAGGGTCCAGGCAAGTTGTTTTGTATGACATATTTCAACTAGAATTTGTCTGATTGTCTCATTATTGGTTTCAGGTTAAACATTTTTGTCAGCACCCTTTATAGATGGTGTGGTGTCCACATTATATCAGGTGGCACTTGATACCAGTTTGTCCAGTTATTGGTGATTTGAAGTTATATCTGCCAGCCTGTTGCCCAGGCTGGAGTGTAGTGGCATGATCAAGGCTGACTGCAGCCTCTAACTCCTGGACTCAAGCGATCCTCCTACATCAGCCTCTTGAGTAGCTGGGACTACAGGTTCATGCCACAATACCTGGCTAATTTTTTGATATATATATTTTTTTTGGTAGAGACAGGGTCTCACTATGTTGCCCAGGCTGGCCTTGAACTGTTGGTCTCAAGCAATCCTCCTGCCTCAGCCTCTTAAAGGGCTGGGGTTATGGATATGAACCACTACACAAAGCCCCTTTCCTTTTTGTATTAAGTAGTCTTAAGGTGACACTTGAGACCGGGAATATCCTGTCCTCAACAATCATGCACTCTGTGTTCATCAGCAATTCTGGACTGAATTATTTATTACTAAAGTGGTTATAAAGCCAGGCTTGGTGGCTCAGCCTGTAATCCTGCGCTTTGGAGGCTGAGGTGAGTGGATTGCCCAAGCCCGCGAGTTCAAGACCCGCCTGGGCGGGCGAGACCTCATCTCTACAATTAATCAAAAAATTAGCCAGGCGTGGTAGCGCGTGCCTGTAGTTCCAGCTACCTGGAAGGCTGAGGTGGAAGGATCGCCGGAGTCCAGCAGGTCAAGGCTGCGGTGGCCGGGAGCGGCCACTGTACTCCAGCCTGCGTGACAGAGTGAGACTCCAACTCAAAAAAATAAAAATAAAAATAAAGTGGTTATAAAAAAACGGATTATCCTAGTCAGTGATTCCATCTACATTGTTGACATTTTTCTGTAAAGAAAAAATATGTAATTTCCTCTTTCAGTGTATAATAACAGTCTCTGTCATTCACCTCCATGTTCAGATGCAGCCTACATTTGGCTTCTGTGTTCTTATTTTTTTGGCCTTCCTTGAGTTGGAGTCTCACTCTGTTGCCCAGGCTGGAGTGCAGTGGCACGCTCCTGGCCACCACAACCTTGACCCGCTGGGCTCTGGCAATCCTTCCGCTTCAGCCTTAAAAGTAGCCAGAACTACAGGCACGCGCTACCATGCCTGGCTAATTTTTTTTTTTTTTGAATTGGAGTCTCACTCTGTCGCCCAGACTGGAGTGCAGTGGCCACTCCCGGCCACCGCAGCCTCGACCTGCTGCGCTCCGGCGGTCCTTCCGCCTCAGCCTTCCAAGTAGCTGGAACTATAGGTGTGCGCTACCACGCCTGGCTAATTTTTGATTTACTGTAGAGATGAAGTCTCACCAAGTAGCCCAGGCGGGTCTCGAACCCGCAAGTTCAGGCAATCCACTCACCTTGGCCTCCCAAACCACGGGATTATAGGCTGAGCCACTGAACCTGGCCAGCTTCTGTGTTCTGACATGCTTGTCAGTCTTTGAGCATTTCCTTACTTATTGACAGACATGATGATTTCGAGGCTGACCCTGTATTTTACCCACCCCATTTTCCACTGTTCATTTTCAGGTGTATCCTGTTAATAGATATGGATGTGTTTTCCTTGTCGATCTGCCTCATTTTTGCCCAAGTGGTACTGTCCCTCTCAAATCTCACTTGTAGCTTAGATTGTCCTGCGCCTTGTTTTTCTGCATGCCATTCTATTTGATGAGTGTACCTCAGATTACTTAACTGGTCTCTCTTTGATGGGTACTTCGTTTTAAATTTTTTGGTTTGACAAATGCTGCTTTAATGCATAGTCTTACAGGTCGTTTTACATGTCATTGAGTATATTTGTAGGATCATTCTAGACATGCACTTAGCTGCTCTTCACTGGACAAGGTGACGCTGATGTTCCTTCCCGTCCAGCAGGGTTGAGTGCCTGTTCCTCCTTGCCTCTGCAGTGGAGTGCATTAGCAGACCTTTTGATC